GGCAGATGAAACGACCACTTCTATCAAACTTTGTAGCTTATTATTACTACTAGCTACATATACATATCCCTCATTATCAATAGCTATGCCACGTGGTGCGTATATCTGACCATCTCCTTTACCTGAACACTTGAATGAATACATGTACTCATCATCTGTATTGAAGACTTGTATGCGGTTATTGTTATAGTCACCTACAAATAGCAATCCTTGATTGTCTACAGCCATGAAAGATGGCCCTTTAAATTGTCCTGGATTACTTCCATAACCTCCAAATGATTTGATGTAATCTCCATTTGTTGTGTATTTTCTTATCCAGTGACCATGTTTATTCGTTTTCTCGTAAACTAACCCATTCCAATCAGATACATACACCATACCATCAGCAGGTCTAACAGCAATGCGTTGAGGATGCTTCATGTTTTCACTGAATTCTTTGATCACATGACCATTCATATCACTGATAACAACTTGTTTATTATCATAATCTACCATGTAGTATTTGTCATTAAATATGCACACATCAACTGGAATAATTTTTTCAATTTTTGTAATATTTTTATAATTTCCATCCTTGTCTGTAATTTGTAGTCTTTTATTACCCCTGTCAGCTGTAACAATGTCACCATTCCTATCTATTGTAACACCAACTGGCTTATTATACTCCCCTTTTCCACTGCCCTCTTTACCAATGGTCTTCACCAATCCTTTAATGACATGGATCTGTGCAGGTGTTCCTGGTGTTGGCTGATTGTCTATTGTCACTGACACTTTATATTTCCCATCTATTTCTCCATGTACCATCATTGTGTGTGTTCCATCATTGTTATCCTGTACTTTGATATCATCACTTGATCCATCAGGTTTTGTTACTCTAGCCTCAACCACCTGGCGTGGAATGACTTGTTTTCCTTGTTTATCTCTGGTTGTTACCATTAAAGTTGCAGTGTCACCTTTGATCAGTTGTTTTGGGACATTATCAAGACTACAGTTTTGTTGACATGCGTTTGTTGCCAGCATTCTTACATCATCTCTCCCTGGATGAGGTCTGAACTCTATTACATCAGGAATAAGTTGTGGTTTAGTTTCCATGGCAATCAACCCATCAATTCGTTGTTGGTAAACTTGTTTGGCACTCAATATCTGTCCAGGATTCCCATGTTGCACCAGTGTCTCTAGGTAGCTGCAAGTACTGACTATGTTTCCATGTTTCATCTCCAGTTCATCAACTTTGATTTCCATATTCTTTACTCTAGCTGTATATTCTGTCTTCAACTCATCCACCAATCTTTCCTTCTTCTGCTTAACTACCTCTATTTGTCTTCTCAGATCTTCCAAGATTTCATCTGTTTTCTTGTTTATCTTTGCTTCTTCTTCTTTACAGCAGGTTTTTAGTTTATCACAGGCTGCCTTGGCTGACATTTTACTTGTCTCAGCTTCATCTGCTTTCACTTTTAACTTCCTGACCTTCCCCTTTAATTCGTCAGAATACTCATCTGCCACCTCTTTAATATATCTGTGTTTGTGTTCAGGAACTCTATGATCTATGATTGTACACTCCATACATATAGGTGTCTGACAGGTATCACAGTAGTACTTCAACTGGTTACCTGTGTGGACATTGCAGTATTGTATCGACTGTACAGCAAATGGCTTCTTGTTCTTTGTCTCTTGATATTCGTCAACCGATAGAACCTGATGAGATTTTGTTGTCTTGGTTTTTTTATGTACTCTAGTACAAGGTGTACAGGAATACTGTTGGCATTCAACACAGATGGAGGTGACTTCATTTTCTTCACAAAATTCACACACTTTAGGGGTACCAGCTACCAGTTTCTCGGGTATCTTGTCTAGAAGTGAGCTCATGAAGAAATTAGACTGCAGATCATTGATAGGTACCTTTACTGACCTGTTACAAGTTGGACACATCAGTGTATCAGCTACTCCTTTCTCAGCTAGTTGTACTAGACACTTCTTACAAAATGTATGTTGACATGGTAGTATCTTTGGGTCTGAATACCGCTCTAGACATATAGCACAACACAGGAAGTCTTCATTAATCTCCGCCAAGACAGCACCAGCATCTACTACATCCGAGGCAGCTGCAGCCATGGTTAGACAATAGTCTGTAA